CACACACACCAGGCAAGTACTCTACCACCGAGCTGCATCTCAAGCTGTCCCTCCTTCCTTGGCTCTCGGGTACCTTAAATGGTTGTTGCTGCACAATAGGGCCCCCCATCACATCCCTATCCAGGGACTCAAAAAAGAAATCTCCTTCGGGAATATTTCTGTCTCTTCATGGGCCTGTCAAGAATGCTGGGACATGGTTCAGTGGGTCAAAAGCACTAGTCTCACAGGCGAGATGACCCAAGAGCAGTCTCCCAAACCCGTGTAAAAGCTGCATGCTGTGGCATGAATTTGTTAGCCTGATCGAGTGCGACAGGAGACTAGCCCAGAAGTTAGCATGCCAGCTTCCTGGGCTACGCAGAACAGCAGTTAGAAACAGTAAGAAGACCTACGAAGTGGAAAGCAGGACCCAATTACCTAAAGTTAACCTCTGACCTCCAGACAAGACCCCATAGAAATATATGCGCGCACACACACACACACTTTTTTTCCTGGGAGACAGGATCTTTCTTTGTAACCTAGACTGGCCTGGAAAGCAGTATGTAGATCAGGCTGGCCTCAAACTCACAGAGATCCTCTTACATCTGCCTTCTGAGTGTAGAGATTAAAGGCATACACCCCCAGGCCCTTCCTAAAAATAATTTAATACAGAAAGCCAGGCTGGGGGTGCAGCTTAAAGGGAGGCTGTTGACCTTATTTGCATAAGAACCCACCTGGGCAAAAAAAAAAAAAAAGAATATGGTTTAATAAACAGCTGTGAGCAAGTCTTGTTCTAGGAAGTGAGAGGCAGCAGAGAACATCACAATAGGAGCCTCCACCTGATGAAACTCACATTTGAAACGCATGAAGAGTCCATCTTTCAGGTCTCTGAGTACTCACCAAACTCCTTCCCACTCACCTGTTTGTATTTAGTATTCATTCTTCCTGCCAAGCACTTTCTCCCAATATTCCCAGGGCATTCTTCTGCAGGTGTTAGCTCCTGAGTCACTTCTCAGAGAAGCTTTACCCCAACCTTGCGGTTGGTGGTGCATGCCGCCTTTAATCTTAGCACATGGGAGGTAGAGGTAGGTGGATCTCTGTGAGTTCGAGGCCAGCCTGGTTGGACTACAGCGGCAGTGCCAGGGCAGGTTCCAAAACTATACAGAAAAACCCTGTCTCAAGAAAAGAAAGAAAGAAAGAAAGAAAGAAAGAAAGAAAGAAAGAAAGAAAGAAAGAAAGAAAGAAAGAAAGGAAGGAAGGAAGGAAGGAAGGAAGGAAGGAAGGAAGGAAGGAAGGAAGGAAGGAAGGAAGGAAAGAAAGAAAGAAAGAAAGAAAGAAAGAAAGAAAGAAAGAAAGAAAGAAAGAAAGAAAGAAAGAGCCGGGCGGTGGTGGCGCACGCCTTTAATCCCAGCACTCGGGAGGCAGAGGCAGGCGGATCTCTGTGAGTTCGAGACCAGCCTGGTCTACAAGTGCTAGTTCCAGGAGAGGCTCCAAAACCACAGAGAAACCCTGTCTCGAAAAACCAAAAAAAAAAAAAAGAAAAAGAAAAAGAAAGAGAGAAGGAAAGAAAGAAAGAAAGAAAGAAAGAAAGAAAGAAAGAAAGAAAGAAAGAAAAGAGAAGACTTATCCTGCAGTTGACTTTCTAAATAACAGCAGAATTTGTACCATATACAAACTACCATGGTACAAACTACCATGGTACAAACTACAGTCCAAGCTTACTCTGAAGGTTGAGGCAGAAAAAAATGGACAAGGGCAACCTCTTACGATCTCATCTCAAAAGGAAAAAAAAAGGTAACTTAATCCTTCCCTACTTTATCAGCACTTGACAAAACATCATATATTTGGTCTGTCACACTAGTTAGCTCCACACTTGGGAGAGTAAGGCAGAGAGAGGACTAAGGCTCAAGGACAGCCTGGGTTGTATAACAAGACCCTGTCTCAAAAATAAAATAGAACATTCTGTATCTGTTTATTGAATAGTACATCTGTATTTAATGTAGTTACTTTACTAAAGGTACAGGGGCATGCTGCCATATTTGTATTACCATATATATTGTATGTTATATGTATAGGATAATACCTAGGTTTTATGCATGATAAAAATATATAAAGTAGGGGCTGGAGAGATGGCTCAGGGGTTAAGAGCAGTGCCTGCTCTTCCAAAGGTCCTGAGTTCAATTCCCAGTAAGCATATGGTGGCTCACAACCATCTGTAATGAGGTCTGGTGCCCTCTTCTGGCCAGCAGGCATACACACAGACAGAACATTGTATACATAATAAATAAATAAGAAAATAAATAAATAAATAAAAATAAAATTAAAAATATATATAAAGTATATACTAGCATATATTTTTATTTACATGTAACCTATTTTTACTGTTTGTTTACTACTATGTAATATAAAATTATACATGACTGTATTTCTATATAATTTTATAGATTTATGTTAAATTAATAGGTCACATGTATCCTTTCCTTGCCTCAGTTTCTTCTTTGTAAGTTAAGGACAATCAGCTCCTATGTTGTAAGGATTAAGTTGAGTGAGGGAAAAAATAATTCAGGAGGCTGGAGAGATGGCACAGCTGTTAAGGACACTTTTTGCTCTTCCAGAGGAACCAGGATTGATTCCCTGTATCCACAAGGTAGCTCACAATCATCTGTAACTCCAGTCCCAGAGGATCCAATGCCCTCTTCTGGCCTCAGAAGTTACCAGGCACACAAGTGATTCACATACATAAATGCAGGCAAAACATGCACACACATAAAATCAAATCTAAAAATAACATTACAAGACTTCAGCAGTGCACTGGAAACAACTTTATAGGCTTTCACAAGCAGGTTAGTTCAATTTTCAGGGATTTTTGTAAACTGATTTTTAAATAACTATTGTTAAAAATGAAACACTGGGGCTAGGCAGATGGCTCCGTGGTTAAGAAGACTTGTTGCACTTGCAGAAGACCCGGTTCAGTTCCCAGCACTCACATGATAGCTCACAACCATCCATAACTCTACTTCTAGGATCTGATACCTTCTGACCTCCTTGAGCAGCAGGCATGTATGTTTTCAAGCAGATAAACACTCATACACATAAAATAAAATAAAAATAATCTTTAAAAAATAAAATACTAGGCCGGGCGATGGTGGCCCACGCCTTTAATCCCAGCACTCGGGAGGCAGAGGCAGGCAGATCTCTGTGAGTTCAAGACCAGCCTGGTCTACAGAGCTAATTCCAGGACAGGCTCCAAAGCCACAGAGAAACCCTGTCTCAAAAAACCAAAAAGAACAAAAATAAAATAAAATAAAATACTAACCGGGCAGTGGTGGTGCACACCTTTAATCCCAGGGAGGCAGAGACAGGTGGATCTCTGTGAGTACAAGGCCAGCCTGGTCTACAAGAGCTAGTTCCAGGACAGGCCCCAAAGCTACAGAGAAACCCTGTCTCAAAAAAACAATGAAATACTGGTAAACCTCAGCACTCGGAGGGCGCACAGGCAGGTCGATCTCTGTGAATTTGAGGCCAGCCTGGTGTACGTAGTGAGTTCTAGAACAGCCAGCACTACCTAGTGAGACCCTGTCTTAAAGAAAAAAAAATAAATGCTGAACGGTGCATGTTGTGGGGCGCCTGAAATGTCAGCACTTGAAAGGTGGGAAGTGTGCCGAGTATGCCGAGTGGTGGTGGTGGCGGCGCACACCTTTAATCCCAGCACTTGGGAGGCAGAGGCAGGTGGATCTCTGTGAGTTCGAGACCAGCCTGGTCTACAGAGCTAGTTCCAGGACAGGCTCCAAAACCACAGAGAAACCCTGTCTCGAAAAACCAAAAAAAAAAAAAAGCAAGGTGGGAAGTGATTCATGGGGTTGAGGCCAGCTTTGACCTACATTGAAACCATGGAGAAAAGAGAGAAAGAAAAAGACAAGGAAAGACAGAAAAGGAAATATAATACTGTGAACTTAACAATTAAGTGGATTGGATTTTTAAAGGTAATAGATATTTAAAATCTATCATTTCTTAATTCTCACACTTCATTTCATTCCTTTTCTGTGCTCCTGAAGCCATTTCTCCTATTATTGTATGGTCCAGTAAACACTAATGGTGTGCGCCTGCACCTGTGTTCAGACTACACACGGGTGACCTAAAATCTGACCGGATGATAGATGATATGTAAACCATGGAAACTAACAAATGCTACAAACAGATCCAACCCCTTACCCTGCCAAAAGCCAGTTAACCATTTACCAGCACGCCACGGACAGCACTTAATGCCTAATACACGGTAAATAACTGTTTCATTTATTTTTTTTTTGCACTAGGTCATGATATATGAGCGCGCTCGCGCGTGTGCGCACAAGCGCGAACACACGAACATATACACATACATATATGCTTTAAATTTTAATCACTCGTACATTTATTAATTTGTTCATTTATTTGGGGAGGGGGCACGTGCCACAAGGTGCATGTGGGGGTGTGGGCCCGCTGAATTAAATTCAAGTGGTCAGATTTGGCAGAAAGAGCCTCTCCCGAGTGTGCTGCCTCACAAATTTATAGATATCCTTTTTACTGGAGCGTAGGGGTTAAAATGTTTCCAAAAATATTTGGGGAAAACGTATAATTACGAAAAGGACGTACATCTTTCTAACCCTATTAACACCGTGAACTCTTTGTTGGTGATGATCTCCATTTTTCAAATGGGGAAACCAAAGTTCTGAGATGGCAAAATTAAAAGCACCGCAATCAACCCGGAAAAATACCATTCAAAATAGCACGCAGTAGCTTCTCTGTTAGCGTACTTTCACTACGTGCTTTCCTCCTCCGCGTGGTCACGCACCACCCCCTTGCGTAATTTCCCTTCCCGCCAGACTTAAGAAAAGTGGGCGTGGCCACGTCGCTGAACTTTGGGAAATGTAGTACATAGGCTCAACGACCGCCAGGGTGTATAAAAGAGGCGGCTACGTAAGTTATTTTAGCCTCTTATTTCTTGCTTTTTTTTGTGCAAGTGCGTGGAGCGGGGTGGGGGTTTCCCATGGGTCTCTCCATATAGCCCAGATTGGCCGAGAACTCGCGATCACGTTGCCTCTCCCTCCTCAGCGCAGTTACACGACCTTGGCCTTGAAACAAAGAACGTAGAGCCGGCTCACGAGCCTTGCAACAGCATTGGCTAAGCAATGTCAGTTGCATCCTGGGAATCGCAGTTCCTGTGACCCGGATATGTCGACAAAAGATGACGAGACTAACGTCATAGGTTCTGCTCTGCTCTGGTCTGGACCTCGGTGGAAGTTAACTATTTAACAATGAAAAGTTTGCCACGTTGTAACAACCTCTAGGTATGTGCTACAGGCCTTCGGGTCAACTGCGAACACCAACTGGAGCCCTACCTCTTTTCACCGGTTTGCACACTCTTCTTGAGGCGGGTGATCCAGCTTCCCTCCCTATCCAAGAGCTAAGGTAGGTCCTGGGACACTTAGGACAAACTGGGACCAAGACTGTAGGCATGCCTGCGCTGTCGGTATGGAGGGGGTTCATTCTCGGTGTTGCAGCTGCATAGTTCAGTCAAGCCTCGGGAAGCAGAAAATTAGAATGCTGCGTGAACTCGAAAGGGTGCCGCATGTCGCTACACAGCTGATCTGGTATCCGCCGGACCACCTCGAGGGGTATCTGGTGATCCTGAGAGGGTGATGGTCTTTGAGGTCATGAAGATGAACTTGGGGCTGTTAATAGAAGATGAGCCTTTAAGGTATTAGGCGCGTGGCGCTGTGTCCGCCAGAAAGTTAACGAAAGCTAGTAATATTTCAGTTCCGTCGCTCATGGAGACCTAACAAAGTGCGCTCACTGGCTGAAAATGAAGGAATTGCTAATAAGAGTATGTTCTCTGGGAGTCCTAGATATTCAGCAGTTTTCATAGTAATCAATAATGGCGAGGTTCCGGAGAGGATAACAGATGAGTGGGCAGGGGGAGAAAAGCACTCGTAAGGGAAGCGAGGAAAGAAGAAACAGAAGCTGTGTGAGCATCCAGTCCAGGGTATTGTGTGTTTTGATGAAAAGGATACTGAAGGCCACTGGTGTGATCTGTGAGAGGTTGGTTGGAGGTTAACGGAGTTAACAGAGCTGGTAAATTGACAGAATGGGGATCAACAGGTCATGATCCTCTAGGCATTAGTGGAGATTAAGGAGGTAGTACGTAATTAATGGCTGGAGGCCTAGTCTTTTAAGGGATTGATGGACTGCAGAGTGGAGAGAAAGATTAGGCTGTGAGAGACAGAATAAGGTTGTATCAGGGTATTAGGTGTGACAGGCATGGGATTAATGGGGGCAGTAAGGGTCTGTGAATCTAGAGACACGGGAAAGCTAGAGAGATGGTTGGGTATTAGTAGTGACGAAATGGGCAGAGAAATTGAGAGAGAGATGACTGGGATAGTGAGGGTAGCTGGAGGTGGGCAGGGTCAGTAGTAAGGTCATTAACAGCGGGGTCTGTGGTGCCCACAGTGATGGGAGCCTATGTGATGAGCAAAGGGGCCTGAGAGTTCATGATAAGGGACTCAGAGCCCTGGCAGGGCTTCGGTCTCCATGTGTTGAAATGGACTGTCTTATGGGTCACATGAACTCAATTAGCTATACTTTGTTTTCTCTGCCCTGTGCAGGTAGGTGGTGTCCTACTCCCTACCCTGTTTATCCATACAGGATAGCAGCATCAGCTCACTGCCTCCCAGCAGAGTGAGATGGGACGCACATCAAAGGATAAACGGGATGTCTACTATCGCCTGGCCAAGGAGAATGGCTGGCGGGCCCGGAGTGCCTTCAAGCTGCTTCAACTGGATGAGGAATTCAATCTCTTCCAAGGTGCTTATTTGGTGGCCAAGTGACCTGGGAGTGAAGAGAAGGCCACTTCTGTAGAGCTCACTGCAGTGGGTGGGCTAACTTCGAGGTTATCTGGGGCAGAGAAACAGGGAAGAAGATGAAGCCACAACCCTTACAGGATATGGCCCAAGAGCAATTCATAGGTTCACTCCAGGGGAGAGAGGTGAATCCTGCAGGGTCCTCCTGTTTAGAAAGGTCTATGCAGCTGACAAAGTGTGTTTTCACTGTGTGTGCACAGGCGTGAAGCGAGCAGTTGACCTGTGTGCAGCCCCAGGCAGCTGGAGCCAGGTGCTGAGCCAAAAGATTGGGTGAGTAGAGAGGTCTAGGAGGGTGAACCGGTGGGAGGAAGGGCTGGGAGGAACGGGTGTGCTGACATGGACTGTGCTGTCCACAGGGGCCAGAGTTCTGGTCAGGTGGTGGCTGTGGACTTGCAGGCTATGGCTCCACTTCCAGGCGTGATCCAGATACAGGGGGACATCACACAGGTGAGTTAGTGACTGAGAACATCGGGGTTATCCTGAGAGAAGGCTCTACTTGGGGGCTATGGGAAGTGGAAGAGAAACAAGGCAATAAAAACAGTGAAAGTAATATGTAATCCTCAGAATTAAAAGGCTGAGCCTGTAATAAATACAAAGCTAGGCTACCTTACATAATGAGACTGTAGCTCCAAATTCAAAAGAGAGGACTGTAAGGTGGCTTCAGCAAGTAAGGGTGCTTGCCGACAAGCCAGTTGACCGAGTTAAGTCCTGAAAATTGTCCTCTGACCTCCATGTGCAGGCAGTGCACATGTACTTAAGCACACACACAGTAAATGACTAAATAGATGCAGTTTTAAAAATACTTTAGGGGCTGGAGTGATGGTTCAGCAGTCAAGAGTCCCGGTTGCTCTTGCAAAGGGCCCAGTTTCAATTCCAAGCACCTACAGAATGACTCACAACTGCCTGGAACTCTAGTTCCAGGGATTGTGATGCCGTCGTCTGACCTCCCTGGCACCAGGCATACATGTGACACAAACAATACATATAGGCAAAACACCTATATATATTTAGAAAGGAAAAGAAAGGGAGAGGAAAATGTTGCGTGTATGTGTGGGGGTGCTTGTGTGCTATGGTGTGCATCTAGAGGTCAGAGGGCAGGAGGAGTCAGTTCTTTCTTCCTCCAGGGATGGAACTCTGGATCACCAGGCCTGGCAGTGAGCACCTTCACCTGCTAAGCCATTTCACCAGCCCATTAATTTTTTTTTAATTTAAAAGCAAGAGGAGAGGGACAGGAGATGTAGCTTAGCGCTATAGCACTTGTGTAACACGAGCAAAGCATACTGGACTCTAGCCCCATATCCAAGACAGAAACTGAGAAAGACAAATTAACAGCAAACAGCCAGTAGATCGTATTGCAGAGACACCAAAAGATGCTGAGGATTTGTTCATGGCTGTCCCAGAGGCTTTAAGGCTAGGGCTGTGGGTGGGTGGGATTTGAAGGTGAGGGCAGTCAAAGGGCACTGAGACCACTCATCTCCCTTTCTCCATAGCTTTCCACTGCCAAGGAGATCATCCAGCACTTTGAGGGTTGCCCTGCTGACCTAGTAGTGTGTGACGGGGCTCCTGATGGTAAATGGGGTGCGGGGGTGACCTCTATCTCCCAGGTCAGTTTTTTTCTCCCTCTTTTCCCCTCTATTCTCAGCATTTCCTCCTTTCTGGCAATTTCTCCCTACCTCTGATCCCTGCTTTCATTCTCCATCTTTCTTTTCACCACCTTTCATGGTGCTAGCGATGGCGGGGTCCCCAACTACGCTAGGCACGTGTTCTGCCGCTCAGGTATACCTCCTGCCCTTCAGCTTTGTGGGTTGTGTCCATCCTTCTCTCTTTTCATATGACTGCCTGTCCAATCCTATATTCTTTTTTATAAGGCGGCTATCTATTCAGAACGTTTTCTGAGCACATGTTGTGTTAGAAAAGTGTGCATAAATAAGTTCCACTAACCTCTGGCCTTGTGAAGTCAATGTTTTAGTGGGAATACATAGAAAAGAAACTGTTGAGCTGGCAACTCAATACCTGTAATTCTAGCTCTTGGGAAACTGAGGCAGAAAGGTCACTAGAGTTCAAGGTCAACCTAGACTAAAAAACCTGTCTCAAAAAATAAAAATAAGAGGGTGGGGAGCTGACTTAGTGGTCAAGAGTGCTTGCTTCAGCTCCAGGGTATCTGACACCCTCTTCTGGCCTCCATGGGCACACAAATGTGACAATACACAAGCACAAACACACATAATTTTTTTAAAAAATAAAGTTTTAAAAATATGCAAAACTAGTAGCAATTTATAACTTTTTAATACAAAGATAATTAAATAAACTAAAGATGGTAATAAATACTATAGCAAAGTTACTGAAACGGGCCAAGGAAGCAAAAACTACCTGTTGGGATTTTAAGTAAACCAGAAAGGTTTCAGCAGGGCTGTGGTGGCGCAAGCCTTTAATCTCAGCACTCGGGAGGCAGAAGCAGGCGGATCTCTGTGAGTTTGAGGCCAGCCTGGTCTACAAGAGCTAGTTCCAGGACAAGCTCCAAAGCTACAGAGAAACCCTGTCTGGAAAAAAAAAGAAAAAAAAAAGAAAGGCTTCATATACTTGAGCAAAGAGAGTTGATAGAGACTGTGCTGATGGGCCATCAGTTACAGTATTACTCTTGATACTGAGAACTTGGAGAAACCCCTGAGGGTTGTAGACCAAGGAAGTCTGTCTGACTGGGATTGCAATTGTATCCCTCAGGCTGCTTGAACTGTGTGAGGGTCAGAGGTGAAAGCAGGGACCCCAGGACGAGAGAGAGAGAGAGAGAGAGAGAGAGAGAGAGAGAGAGAGAGAGAGAGAGAGAGAGAGAGAGCGCCACTGCGCAAGTGCAAAGGCGTGACTGATAACAGTGATGACTCCAGTAGACAGGCGAAGAGAGGTCACATTTTGAAATCAACTGGCTGGTTCTCTGACAGGCGCCAGAGTTGGTCAGAGGGGCTAAGGTTTTTGCCATGAATTACTGGAAGGGTCGGATGAGCTGAATACACAGAGGAGCTGATAGAGAAGGAGTAGGCTTTGGACTTGTTGAGCCCATGGGGCTGGTCTATAAACAAAGCTCAGAGGAGCCAGCTGGGTTATCAGTAGAAATGCTAGTGTTACTTGTGGGACAAGTAGTTTCCAGAATTAAAATGACTTCCCAGGTGCTAGGGGTCAGAGTTCAAATCCATTTGGAAGGCAATACTCTTGTTTCTAGAACCTTAGCTTTGAGAAGGCCTGGAAGAAAATGCTTTTAGTTTTCTAATCTCTGGTACAAGAAGATCCGTCAAATCAGAGGGTCCCCTAATGTTGTTCTTCTTGCTACAGTCACTGGCCTCCATGATGTCGACGAGTATATGCAGGCTCAGCTTCTGCTAGCGGTGAGTAATGCTGGTGACTGCCCCTGCTCTCCTTTAGCCCTTTCTTGGCTGCCTCTGCCTCAACCACCACCGTACCCATCTGTCCTTCCCACAGGCTCTCAACATTGCTACACATGTCTTGAAGCTAGGGGGCTGCTTTGTAGCCAAGGTGAGCCTTGGGGAGCTTGGGGGAGTGTTGAGAAAGGTCTGGGGGGCACCCTTACCTCTCCATCTTGCCTTCTACACCCTACAGATATTCCGGGGCCGAGATGTAACACTGCTCTATAGCCAGCTGCACATCTTCTTCTCCAGCGTGCTCTGTGCCAAGCCGAAGAGCAGCCGGAACTCCAGCATTGGTCAGTGTAGCATGTCACCCCCTGATAGGCAAGGGGGTGACTGGGCATGTGTCCACACAAGATTGAGGTGACAGAGTCACCCGCTCATTCTAGGTTCTCCCCCACAGAGGCCTTTGCTGTTTGTCAGGGTTATGACCCTCCTGAGGGCTTCATTCCAGACCTGACCAGACCCCTGCTGGACCACTCATACGGTGAGAACGAGAGCTGGTGGCCCATGCCTGGGGAAACTGCACCAGCCACATGCACCACATGTCTCTTTTTTTTTTTTTAATTTTTTTCTATTTATTTATTTGTTTTTGTTTTTTTTTTTCTGGATTTTTCGAGACAGGGTTTCTCTGTAGCTTTTGGTTCCTGTCCTGTAACTAGCTCTTGTAGACCAGGCTGGCCTCGAACTCACAGAGATCCACCTGCGTCTGCCTCCCGAGTGCTGGGATTAAAGGCGTGCGCCACCACCTCCCGGCGCACCACGTGTCTCTTGAGGGCCCTCAGCCTCCCACCCTGATGGCTGTTCCACCCCCTGATGGGTATTTTGTATTAATGGGAGCTTTGGTTCAGATAGTCCTCCAATGGTAGCTCTTGGTCCTGGTGGAAATTCTGTTGCGGCAAACTCCTAAGCATTCACTCAGGGAAGATTCTACCTGTCTATCTTAGGAAAACCCCCAGTCATTGCCCTCGGGTGGAAACCTCACATGTGTTAAACATGTTCCCTGTGTAGGTCTGTACCTTTGCCCCTGGTGGGCAAAGGCAGATCCCAGTTGAGTGAGACAAGGTTCTGATAGAATGTGCTGGTTAAAGTGTTTGCTAGGTGGGCATAGTGCAGTGCAAAGCAAGATAGGGGCTGACATTTAGAATCAGTGATAAAGCTGGGCGATGGTGGTGCACGCCTTTAATCCCAGCACTTGGGAGGCAGAGGCAGGCGGATCTCCTTGAGTTCGAGACCAGCCTGGTCTACAGAGCTAGTTCCAGGACAGGCTCCAAAGCTACAGAGAAACCCTGTCTCGGAAAACAAAAAATAAAAAAAAATAGAATCAGTGATCAGACAAGCCCCCTATGAAGGTGATCCACACTAAAAGACTAGTTGAAGATGGACCAGTTAGTGGGAAGGAACTTAATGTTCTTGTACCCTACGTCCTAACTGGCCTTGCCCTCAGTCTTCACTCCGCCTCTTTCTATGACTTAGATTTCAACCAGCTGGAAGGTCCTGCCCGTTTTATTGTACCCTTTGTGGCCTGTGGGGACCTCAGCGCCTACGATTCGGATCGCAGTTACCCTCTGGATGTGAGTATCCAATCATCAGGATGTGGGGTCAGGGAGACTGGGAGTCTCAGCCCCTCATCATCTCCCTGCCTCTTGTGTCCCACAGCTAGAAGATGGCTCTGAGTACAAATATACTCCGCCCACACAACCCCCCATCGCACCCCCATACCAGGAGGCCTGCAGGTTGAAGAAGAATGGGCAGCTGGCCAAGGAATTGCTCCCCAAAGAATGCTCCATTAACAAAGTAGACAACTTGCCCCAGCCTCTGACTGTCCCTCAGGGTCATACCCTGCTGTCCCCCAAGGTATGGATATTCACTTCTCAGCCCACCATGACCCCTTCCCAATATGCCTGTTTCTATCCTGATTCAACTTGGTTCTTTCCTGCTTGCAACAATTACAGGAATCAGTAGGTCAGCCCACTGACAAATGGAAAATGTAACCAAATAACCAAGTCCCTTTTCTTTTTCTTTGGCAGGTGGAAGACGATGAAATGAATAGTTCACCTTAACAATTTAAGGTAAATTTGCCTTTTTTTTCTAAAGTTCAAATAAAGGGCACCTTTAGGAAAAAGCCGAATGGTTAAGAGTAGGTAGGGCTGGAGAGATGGCTCAGAGGTTAAGAGCACTAGCTGTTCTTCCAGAGGTCCTGAGTTCAATTTCCCAGCAACCAAATGATAGCTAACAACCATCCATAATGAGATCTGGTACCTTCTTCTGGCCTACAGGCATACATGCAGACAGAATACTATATACATAATAAATAATCTTTAAAAAAAATTAAAAAAAAAAAGATTAGGTACTGCACTTGCATAGGATCCAAATTTGGTTCCCAGCACTCATGTCTGGCAGCTCACAACTGCCTGTGGCTCCGCCTCCATGGGATTGGACAGATCTGGCCTCCCTGGGCACCTACATTCACAAGCACATGCCAGGACATGGACATGCATGCAATTAAAAATAATAAAAATAGTTGGGTATGGTGGCACTTATCTTTAATCCCAGCCCTTTGCGGGGTGGAGGGGAAGCAGGCAAGTCTCTACAGGTTTGAGGCTAACGTGGTCTGAACAGTTCTAGGATAGCCAAGGATACATAATAAGACCCTGTCTTTAAAAAAAGAAAAATCTTTCAGTGGTTTGGAGATATAGCTCAGTGTGTAGAGTGCTTGCTCAGAATATGCAAAGCCCTAGGTTCAATCTCCAGCACCATATGAAAAACCAGGCAGGCCGGGCATGGTTATGCACACCTTTAATCCCAGCACTGGAGAGGCAGTGAGTGGTAGGTGGATCTCTGTGAGTTCAAGGCCAGCCTCTGGTCTATAGAGTGAGTTCTGAGACAGCCAGGGCTTTTTTACAGAGAAACCCTGTCGCTAAAAACATCAAAAACAAGCATGTAGTGCCTATATTCCTAACACTCAGAAGCTACAAGACAAGAATCAGAACATCCTCAGATACATAGCAGGTTTGAAACCAGCCTGAGCTACATAAAAACTTGTCTCAAAAGGTGAAAGACTTCAGTAAATTTTGACTTAAATTTTTTTTACTGTTTTATTCATTGAGCATACTTGCAAACAAAATATTTATACACATAAAATAAAAATAAATCTTTAAAGGGTTAAAAGATTCTATCTTCGGTACTGCCAGGGAAACAACAAAACCATATTAGGGGCTGGGGTGTACTTGAGTTGGTAGACTGCACAAGGCTCTGGGTTTTATCCCCAGGACCGCCGAACCTTGATGTGGTGGCCCATACATGTAATTCTGTGGTAGGAGGTTGTCGTAAGTTACTTTTCAATTGCTGTGATAAGGCACCATACCATGACCAAGGCAACTTCTAGAAGAAAGTGTTCATTGGGGGTTTATCATTTCTTTGGATGAATCCATCACCGTCACGGCAGGGAGCATAGCCACAAGCAGGCAGGCATGGCTCTGGAACAGGAATTGAGAGATACAGACCATGGATGGAGAGAGCAAGAGAGGTCCCTGGGGAGAGCCTGGGCTTTTGAATCCAGAAAGCCTGTCCCCAGCGGCCCAATAAGACTGTACCTCTTTATCTCTCCCTAGACAGTTCCACCAGCTGGGCACCAGGCAATCAAATCTATGAGCCCCTGGGGGCCATTCTCACTCAGACCACCAAAGAAGTTCAGAAGGACAAGGTCATCCATATAGCAAGTGTGAGGACAGCCTGGGCTATATGAGACCCTCTCTTAAATAAAAACAAAGCTGGAGCTATAGAGATGGCCAGAAGATGGTATCAAGTATCCTGGAACTGGACTTACAGGTGCTAGTTAGCCACCATGTGGGTGCTGGGCCTCTGAAAGAGCTTCTACCGAACCATCTCTCCAGCTTCCTACCTGCAGAGAATTTGTTTAAAAAAAAAAAAAGTTTTTTTTTTTTCTCAGTAAATGGATATTTCCTGAGATCTGCTTTATGCTTAGAAGAGCTTTAAGCATTTTGCATGCTACATGTTGAGGAGGTGGTAAATATTGAATGCATACTTCAGGCATTCTAGGTTTAAAGATAAAGCAGGAAACAAAGAGTGAATTTATACTTTGTAGCTTGTATTCGACTATGTTTACAATTTGCTACAAAATAACAGTTTATTCAAAGGCAGACCGTAGAAACAATGGTCTCATAAGATACCATCTAGTGACTGTTGTGTTGAAATACACTCCTCTAATATTTACGCAATGACAAACACACCCAAGGTGTTTCCCACAATGGCACCTTTCCATTAAAATGCATGACTGCACATGCAAAGGTAATATAGGCTATGAAAGGTAGGAAAAGGTGAACCAGAATGAAGAAATTTGGGGAATGTAGACATGGGTATTTACAATTTTTATTTATTTATTTTTAAATCGTTTATTTAACTTTATTTCATATGCGTTGGTGTGAAGGTATCCGAGCCCCTGGGACTGGATTTACAGACAGTTGTGAGCTGCCATATGGATGCTGGAATTTAAACCCAGATCCTCTGAAAGAGGAGCCAGTGCTCTTAACCTCTGAGCCATCTCTCCAGCCCCTGTTTGCGATTTTTATTTTTTTTAAACATTTTTTTATTTTTATTTATTATGTATATAGTGTTCTGTCTGCATATATGCCTACTTGCCAGAAGGGGGCACTAGATCTCATTACAGATGGTTGTGAGCCACCATGTGGTTGCTGGGAATTGAACTCAGGACCTCAGGAAGAGCAGTCAGTGCTCTTAACCTCTGAGCCATCTCTCCAGCCCCCTGTTTGCGATTTTTAAAACTATCTTTCTAGCCGGGCACTTGGGAGGCAGAGACAGGCAGATTGTAAACTTCAGACCAGCCTGGTCTAGTTCCAGGACAGTCAGGGCTATGTAGAGGACCCTGTCTGAGAAAACCAAAAAATAAAAATAGCCAGGCGGTGGTGGTGCACGATTTTTAATCCCAGGTCTTGGGAGGCAGTGGCAGGCAGATCTCTAAGTTTGAGGCCAGCCTGGTCTATAGAGTGAGTTCCAGAACAGCCAGGGATACACAGAGAAACCCTGTCTCAAAAAACAAACAACAAAACAAATTTGAAGTATCTTAAGGTTTTTTTTAAAAAAATATTTATTATGTATACAATATTCTGTCTGTGTGTATGCCTGAAGGCCAGAAGAGGGCGCCAGATCTCATTACAGATGGTTGTGAGCCACCATGCGGTTGCTGGAAATTGAACTCAGGACCTTTGGAAGAGCAGGCAATGCTCTTAACCACTGAACCATCTCTCCAGCCCTCTTAAGGTTTTTTTATTATTGAAACACAGGGATTAGAGAAATGGGTCAGTGGTTAGGAACACATATTGCCCATTCAGTGGACTCAGTTCCCAGCACCCACATGGCAGCTAACAACCATCTGGAACTCCAGTTCCAGGGGCCTTCCTCTGGCCTCCATAGTTACAAAACATGCGTGCAAGTTACTTACATACATGCCGGCAGGCAAAACAGTGATACACAAAAACAATAAATCTCCTTTTTAAGAAAAATTGAGACAGGCTAGGTGTGGTGGCACAGGCCTTTAACCCTAGCACATGAGAAAAAGAGTCCAGACTAGGCCACTACTTAGTGAGACCATGTCTTAAGAAAAACAGACAGAGCTGGAGAGATGGCTCAGAGGTTAAGAGGACTGACTGCTCTTCCAGAGGTCCTGAGTTCAATTCACCATTACAAATGGAGGCTCACAGCCATCTGTAATGAGATCTGGTGCCCTCTTCTGGCCTGCAGCAGACATGCAGGCAGAATACTGTATGCATAATTAATAAATAAATCTTTAAAAGAAAAGAAAAACGTGCTAGGCGGTGGTGGTGCAGGCCTTTAATCCTCAGGAGGCAGAGGCAGGTGGATCTTTGAGTTTGAGGCCAGCCTGATCTACAGAGCAAGTTCCAGGATAGCCAGGGCTAAACACTAAAACAATATGCGGTTGTAGGTCAGTAATAGAGCTTGCCTGGCATATATGAGACCCTGGGTTGCCAGGTTTAAAGATGCGCACACTACCATACCTGGCCCCAATTACATGGCTAAGAAATTAGTTCCAGCCGGGCGATGGTGGCGCACGCCTTTAATCCCAGCACTCGGGAGGCAGAGGCAGGTGGATCTCTGTGAGTTCGAGACCAGCCTGGTCTACAGAGCTAGTTCCAGGACAGGCGGACAGGCTCCAAAAGCCACAGAGAAACCCTGTCTCGAAAAACCAAAAAAAAAAAAAAAAAGAAAGAAAGAAATTAGTTCCAAGCCAGGCAGTAGTGGTGCACACCTTTAATCCCAGCACTCAAGAAGCAGAGGCCGGTGGATCTCTGTGAGTTTGAGGCCAGCCTGCTCCATGGCAGGCTCCAAAGCTACAGAGAAAAAAAAAGAAATTAGTTCCAGGATTCGGTAGGAAAAGGCTCTTTTGGCTAAGCCTGACAACCAGAGTTAAAGCCTTGTAACCCACAGGGTAGAAGGAGAGAACTGACTTCCACATATCGTTACTTCATGTGTACACCAATGGTGTGTCTCCACACACATACACACAGTAAATAAGTGTAAAAAAATACTTTTAGAGAAATTGGTTCTTGAGTGTTTGCAGCACCCCTGTTAATCATGGTCTGTTCACAGTGGGGCGCTTCATAGCTGTGAGAATGAAATAGCACTTTGTAGTTAATCGTGGCCCTTTTTAAATACATTTTCCTTTATGGTAGAGTTTGCAGTAAAAATGGAACTAATCCAAGTCAGAAGCTGCTGCCTGCCAGGAAAACCAGAAGCTGGCTTGATGAGTTTGTTTGCAGATACCATCTATGGGTCCTGAACAGATAAGCCTCGAGTGGACTCTGCAGCAACTCCATAATAACAAAGAAACGGCGAAGAAGTCTGCTGAGCTGCAGGCGGAATTTCTTGAGACTGTGAGCACATGCCTCTTAGCCTCTCCTGGGTGTCCTGAATAGGTCCAGGATTTCCCCGCAAAGCAGGGGTTCTTACCATGGGTAAACATCAGGGACCTCCACCAACTTGATGGAGGAAAATGTTACAGCTTCACTATACCTGAAATTCAGCTTTATTCCTGGTCAGTGGCCATGGGCAACAAATCAATGGTAAAAGCCCTACCTATGCAAGTCACTTCCTTTTTATATTACAATGTACAGGCATCTGAAAGACTGCTCATATTTGTCACTGCTTTGGATAATAGCAGATTTTATAAATCAATCCTATAATTATACATCCCATCCATTACTGCCTTCCAATTTTTACAGATTGGTTGGTCAGGTATTTTTAAGACAATATCTTCCCATATAGCCTAGACTGCCTTCAGACTCAAGATCCTCCTGCATCTGCCCCCTGAATGCTGAGATTACAGGCCTGTGCCACGAAACCTGGCTACTGTATCCCAGTTTTATTTCACTTAAATATACAGTGATAACTGTATTTCAGTGTGATCGGCTTTCATTATTATTCGTATGTGTTTGTATACATGTGCAGGTATGCTTTCAAAAAGTTCCTGTAATGGACTGGGGATGTAGCTCAGTGGGAAAGTACATTCCTAGTATGCACAAAGCCCTGGATTCCACCTTCAATAACACACACACACAAATTATGTTAGCTGGATCCTACTCAGGTGCCCAAAATAAGAACACTCAAGCCCAGAAATTCAAGGTCAACCTGGGCAACATAGCTAGGCCCCATTTCAAAAATAAAAGGTAAGCCTACAGAATGGGAAAAAAATCTTCACTAACCCCACATCAGACAGAGGTCTGATCTCCAAAATATAAAAAGAACTCAAGAAATTGGTCACCAAAAGATCACATAATCCAATAAAAAATTGGAATACAGGCCTAAACAGAGAACTCTCAACAGAGGAATCTAAAACGGCTGAAAGACACCTAAGGAAATGTTCAATATCCTTGGTCATCAGAAGGTAAATCAAAACAACTCTGTGATTCCATCTTACACCTGTAAGAATGGCCAAGATCAAAAACACTGATGATAACTTATGCTGGAGAGGTTGTGGGGAAAAGGGAACACTTCTGCATTGCTGGTGGGAATGCAAGCTGGTACAGCCCCTTTGGATGTCAGTGTGGCGATTTCTCAGAAAATTAGGAAACCACCTTCCTCAAGACCCAGTAATACCACTTTTGGGTATATATCCAAAGGATGCTCAATCGTGCCACAAGGACATGTGCTCAACTATGTTCATAGCAGCTTTGTTTGTCATAGCCAGAACCTGGACACAACCTAAATGCCTCTCAATTGAAGAATGGATAAGGAAAATGTGATACATTTACACAATGGAGTACTACAGAGCAGAAAAAAAATAACATCTTGAATTTTGCAGGCCAATGGATGGAACTAGAAAACATTATTTTGAGTGAAGTAACCCAGACCCAGAAAGACAATTATCACATGTACTTCATTCATAGGTGGTTTTTAAACATAAAGCAAAGAAAGCCAGCCTACAAACCACAATTCCAGAGAATTTAGACAACAAAGAGGACATTAAGAGAGACTTACATAGATCTAATCTACATGGGAAGTAGAAAGTAGAAAAAGACAAGATCTCCTGAGTAAATTGGGAGCATGGGGACTTTGGGGGAGGATTGAAGGAAGGAGAGGAACAGAGAAAAATGTAGAGCTCAATAAATATTATATATTTTGAAGCCAAATGCAGTACATGCCTATAATCCCAGAACATGGGAGACTGAGGCAGGAGGTTTGTGAGTTTGAGGCTAGCATGGGCTGCATAGTGAGACCCTGGTTCAAAAACAAATACAAAAAATGATTGAGTCCACAGACTTCCAATGGATTTCTCAAACGATTCGTTTTTATTTTTTTGAAAAAGGATATCATGCCGGGCAGTGGTGGTACACACCTTTGATCCCAGCACTTGGGAAACGGACAGGTGGCACTCTAAGTTTGTTTGGGGAGAAAAAGAAAAGAGGACTATAGCTACACACCCAAGGATGGCCTTGAAATGCTGACCCTCCTGACTACCTCCTAAGTAGGGGCAATAAAGGCAGGTTTCACCACGCCTAATTTTACCAGAACAAGCTTTTTAGGTTGAGAGTCTTCACACTTAGCTAACATGTACGAGTCCTTGAATTCTGTCATAGCATTACCTTCGGGAGGGAAACCTGTTAACTTTTTGTTGTTGTTGTTTTATTTTTATTTTATTTTTTTTTTTGAGACAAGGTTTCTCTGTTATAGCTCTGGCTGTCCTGGAACTAGCTCTTGTAGACCAGGTTGGCTCAAACTCAGAGATCCGTCTGCCTCTGCCTCACCAGTGCTGGGATTAAAGGCCTGCGCCACCACCGCCCAGAGGGAAACCTGTTTTCTAAAGTGTCAGAAAGTCTTCCTTGACTGTGGTCCAAGGATTTCTATAGCCCAACAGGCAGGAGCAAAGTCCCTAAACTCTATGGCACCATTTTCTGTGGCTTAATCCTGTGTCCTTATGAAGTCTGTAGGTGCATATTCACTTTAATCTCTGACCACAGGATAGCCACACCTTTCTATGAGATTCCAGGAATGCCTGCACCCCCACTCCGTCTATAGGTGTTCACACTCCAGTGATTTAATATAGTATAAGTCTTCTCATTCAAATTAATGTGACCACAGGAATGTCCTCCGTGCAGGCAATCTGACTCCAGGAACGCACAGCAAGAGTGCTCACACAAAAGCATTGATCACAGGTACTTCCACACCCATTGCAACATAAACTCTGCAGTGCACAGGAAAAAAACCTGAGAGACTTCACAAGTCCCCCTGTCCCAGGCTATGACTCGCAGGAGGGGAATGTGTGGAGCAAGTGATCCAGGCAATGTGAGCAGCAAGGCAAGAGGAATAGAGTCAGCCAGAGGACCAGGAGAGTGGGCCCTGAGATCGGAGCAAGAAATACCTGAATAGAACCTGACAGCACAAAAATAGCCCAAGAATTGAGGAGCTGGAGAGCTGGCTCAGCTGTTAAGAGCATTTGTTGCTCTTGCAGAGGACCTGGGTTCAGAGTTCCAACACCCGCAAGGTAGCCAAAAATTGTCCATAACTCCAACTTCAGGGGATTTGATGCTCTCTTATAACCTCCATATAGGTACCAGGTACTGCATGTGGTTCACAGGCAGACAGAAAAAAACACACAGATAGGCAAAAATAAAATAAATATTTAAAGAAAAGAGTTAGCAAAAAGGGGGTTACATAAAATTAAAAGGCTTCTGCATCCAAGAGGGGGGAGGGGTTCCACATTAGCAGAATGAACATTCTTTATAGATTAGGAGAACATTTTTGACAGCTATACTTCAGATAAAGAGTTAATATCTACACTATATAAAGAACTGCAAAAGTTAAATACCAGAAGACTCTGCCAATCAATAAATAGGCCAAATAAACCAAACAGGTAATTAAAAAAGAAAAAAGGAAATACAGATGGCCAATTTTTTTGTTTTTGAGGATGGGTTGTTCTCTGTAGCCTTGGCTGTCCTGAAACTCACTTTGTAGACCAGACTGGCTGGCTTTGAACTCATTAAAAATCCATTTGACTTTGCCTCCCAAGTGCTGGGATTAAAGGCATGTGCCTCCACCGCCTGACCTCAAATGACCAACAATTTCTTTTTGTATTTTGAGATAGGGTTTCTCTGTGGACCCTGGCTCTCCGGAAAAATCTGTAGATCTGAATGGCTTTGAACTCAGAGATACCACCTCTGCCTTCCAAGTGCTGGAATTAGAGGAGTGTGTCACCACACCCAGATGCCATAAATACTTTTTAAAGTATTCAATATCCTTAGTCATCAGAGAAATGCAACTTCAAGAGCTGACAAGATGGCTCAGTAGGTAACACTAACAACCTGAGTGCAGTGCCCAGGGCCCACAAGGTAGAGAGAACCAACTCCTGCAAGCTAGCTTCTGACCTACACATGCATCTTGTAGCATAAACACACCCACACACATACAAAAAGATAAAAAAATGTAATCTTTGAAGGGCTAGGAGTGTAGCTCCTTTGGGTAGGTTTCCCTAGCATTCACAAAGTTCCTCAGTTCATTCACCTCCTCAGATCTGTTTAAACCAGACCTGGTAGCCAGGTGGTGGTGGTGCACGCCTTTAATCCCAGCACTCAGGAAGCAGCGGCAGGCGGATCTCAGAATTTGGGGCCAGCCTGGTCTACAGAGCTAGTACTAGGACAGCCAGAACTGTTACACAGAGAAACTCTGTGTCAAAAACAAAAAACAAGCCGGGCAGTGGTGGCGCACGCCTTTAATCCCAGCACTCGGGAGGCAGAGGCAGGCGGATCTCTGTGAGTTCGAGACCAGCCTGGTCTACAAGAGCTAGTTTCAGGACAGGCTCCAAAACCACAGAGAAACCCTGTCTCGAAAAACCAAAAAAAAAAAAAAAACAGACATGGTAATACGTGGCTATAATCGAAGTGCTGGGTAGGTGGAGGCAAAAAGAGAAGTTGTTCAAGGTCATCTTTAGCTAGGGTTGGAGTTTGAGGCCAGCCCAGGCTACATGGGACCTTGCCTTAAAAAATAAAAATTAAAAAAATATATACTTTGAGATTTCATCTCACCCTAGCCAAAATCTCAGTCAAGAAAACAAATGCTAATGAGAAAGTGTGGAACAAAGAGCCTTTACTATTGCTAGGAACGGAAACTGCTGCAGTCACTATGGAAATCAGAGGCTTCTCAAAACCCTAAAAATAGAACTATGGTATAATCTAGCTGTACCACCCCTGAGCATATACCAAAGGACTTTACATCCTCCTACAGAGAAACTGCAGGTGCCTCTTTCCTCTTTCCTGCATTGGGTTACTAATAGTTGTTTATTGAATTTTTTCTTATTCATTTTACATACTAACTACAGTTTCCCCTCCCTCCCCCCCTCACGGCTCCCCCACCCCCATCTCCTCCACAGAAAGGTAAGGCCTCCCATGGAGGAGTCAACAACTCTGGCACTTCAAGTTGAGGCAAGACCAAGCCCCTCCCCTCTGCATCAAGGCTGAGCAAAGCATGCCACCATAGGCTCATCACCTTGTGTTACATAGTGAGCATTTTAAAAAATGCTGCAAGATCCCGGCGGCAGTAGGCAGCAGAAATGCTGTAGGTCCCAAATGGTGGTAGCGGGCCATGTGGTGGCAGGCAGCAGGCCCTGGGAGCAGCCAGTCCCAGGCGGAGATGGCTGCCGTTCCCAGAGTGGTGGCCTGAGCAGTGGTGGCCGGCCATGTGGCAGCAGACAGCAGGCCCTGGGAGCAGCCAGTCCCAGGCAGAGACAGCTGCTGGTCTCAGAGCAGTGGTGGCGGGCCATGTGGCAGCAGGCAGTGGGCCCCAGGCAGAGACGGCTGCTGGTCCCTGAGCAATGGCTGGTTCCAGGCAGGGAGACACATGGCGGGCGGGCAGAAGACAGAAACATGGATAGACACGACATGCAGGGTGAGGTTGAATG